CCTCCTCCTCCTCCTCCTCCTCCTCTTATGTACGCAACTCCCCTTTCCGAATGTGGCTGGAATCTTTTTTGGAGTTCCAGGCGGGCTATGACTCGCGACCGTGGACAGAAAAAGCATCAGCAGAATGGCAAGGAATGGGTGGGAGGGGTACGATGTCAGATATGGTGGGAACGCACCTAGCTTGCCCCTCTCCCCTCTCCTCCCTCATCCTTCTCCTTCTCCCCCCTCCTGCTCATCATCCTCCTCATCGCTTATTATCATCCCCTAAGCCCCTTTCTTCTTCTGTTCCTCCTCCCTCACCTTCTCCCTCCCTCCCTCCCTCCCTCCCTCCCTCCCTCCCTCCTCCTCCTCCTCCTCCTCCTCCTCCTCCTCCTCCTCCTCCTCCTCCTGTTTCTCATCCTCCCCTTGTTCAGTAAGCCACGCGGGAGCGGAGCCTCGGCCCTCCTGCTCCGCCCCCGCTCACCCCTCCCCAGCAGATGCCTCGGGTCCCACGCGGCGAAAGAAGACGAGGCGGGCGCCCGTTTCGCCACGCCCCGGGCCCGGTGGGCCGGGCGGATCGATCTACAGTCGGCCTTGCTTGGGCAGGACACGCGAGAGGACACAAGACACTCCCGAGGGCCGCAAGGCCATAGGAATGTGTAAGAAGGCACGTGCCGCGAGGCACAGGACACAAGGGTACCCTTGAGCTGGCAGGGTCGACCTACTAATCCGGGTCGGCTGTAGCTCAGCAGCTGGGGCAGGAAGAGATTGCGTCGAGGGCTCCGGCTGCGAGTGTGGTCACGACGCCGTGGCTTCAACACGACGGCGGGTCTCTGTGCCATCCTCTGTAACCTCCTGTTCTACATCCTCCTCCTGCTCCCGTCTCCTGTGTTGTGCGAGGGCAGGAGGATAATCTTCGAGGGGGGGGGCGGACGACCTTCTTCAGAGTCGTGGGCCTCACGCTTTTTGAACAAGTGGCGGTGGGGACCCATCATCGGGAGACAGACCCTCTCAGAATGGACCTTCTTCCTTCATTCGTCCTCATGTTTCCTCCATCCCTGCTCCTCTTTCCCCCCCCTCCTGCTCCACCTCCTCCCCACTCCCCTCCTCCTCTTCCATCCCCTTTCCACACGAATAACTCCTCCCTGTCGCACCCCCAGACGCACTGATAGGTAGCCTGAGATTCCCCCACCACTTCTGATCCTGAAGCTTACAACCCTCAAACGTTCCAGGATGGAGGGGCATGTCGTTTTCAAAATGTGTCTCTCGCCTCAGCGCCGCGCACATTCGTGCTCGAAGTCGGCTACGAAGGATTGAAGACAATTCGTTTTCAAAATGTGGCTCTCGTCGTGTTCGCGCCGCGCGCACTCGTCTTGGTGGTGTGCAACGGCTTCGAGGATGGAGAGCGGCGATGCAGTCTATGCGGCGCACGGCCATGCAGAGCAGTGGGACGCAATGGTGCGAACCAATGCGGCTCGGTGCCATGCAAAGTAATGATCATCAATGCAAGGCAATGTAACGCAGTGCAACGCAGTGCAAAGCACTGGAACAAGAAATGCGAAGCAGTGAAAACGTAGTGCAAAGCACTTAGAAGCGATTCAAAGCAATGCAAATCAATGCAAAGCGCTGCACAGCGATGCAACGCAATGCTAAGCAATGCCAGAAGGAAACGCGAAGCAGTCCAGGGCAATGCAATGCAGAGCAGTGCAATGCAATGCAACGCGATTCAGAGCGATGCAGAGCACTGCGGAGCAATGTAGATCCATTCAATGCGACGCAGAGCAGTGCGCAGCCATGATCAGCCGTGCTAAGCGATGCACAACACGTGAAAATTTACGATACGAACGGGGGGGGGTGCAACGGAGGGGGGAGGTGCAACCGGGCGGCGGCGACGGACGGGAATGGGGCCGCCGGACCGACAGAGGGGTCATTGATTTGTTCGTACATTTTAGGAGGAGGAGGAGGAGGAGGAGGAGGAGGAGGAGGAGGAGGAAGGGGAGGAGGAAGAGAAGGGGGAGGGGGAGGAACAGACGGGCCATCGATTCGGAAAAGTAAAGCGGCGAAGGACTGGAACGGGGTGGCTGGGCGAACAGACAGGCTCAGCTCCTCAGGCTGCAAGCATCGGCGGCGAGCCTGGGGGGAAGTGAGCAGGGGCGGGCCTTCTCAGGAGGCTTGGAAGTCCCCCGGCCTTCTGTGAAGTCTTCCACCAAGACACGGGAAACTTCTCAGAAGGCGCGAGGGCTGATGGAAAGCTCCGCCGCCTTCTGAGAAGGCCTTCTCCTT